AATCATCAGATGTTTTTCATTTTCCGCTGCTAGGCTAGACATCTCTGTCAACAGTTTATCTTACAAACTTGTGTTGATACTATTGTGTACATTTTGTAAGAAATCAGAACATTATATAGTGACTTTATATTTATAGAGAAATGGATTTGTAAAATATATTATGTGTCTTTTTTAATTCTTTTTAGGTTCTTCTGTGATATGTTTTCATGGTGTGGGAATAAGACTTGGTGGTCTAATACAGCTAATATGAAGGTACGTACCAGTATGTTAAATTAGTCCTGTTTTGAAAAAAGAAAAAGTATTTATAATGTATTTGGAAATAGCATGTGCTCTAAGCGTGAAGGTATGTAGGAGTTTGGTAAGAAGTCTTTGCTTTCTTTAATTGCCTTTAAAGGAGTAAATTTAATTATCTGATTTGATTATGTAAAAGTTTGTTGGGATGCTGGTTTGCTGTTCTCAACTTCTATTACATATTTATAGACTTTTATATAATTTGCCACTGGACATTTAGCAACCAACAATCAAATGAATCAATCATTCAAAATATGGAATATACATACAGTATATCGAAAATGATCCTTTTAAACAATCTTGAATGACTAATCATTTTATTTTTCAGGTTAGCATCACAGCTTGTCTGTAAAGATTGAAGCTGGGAGTGGGCATTGGAGCTTTTATGGTAAGAACCAATACAAAAAAAAACAATATGTAAAAAAAAAAATATGTTAGACATCTACCATTGACTTGTTTTTCATCTTTTTCTGCTAATAAAGACTGGTAGTTCAAAAAATATATCAGCAAATCACTTTTAAACAAAGTAAGAGAAAGGTTTTATGAATCATGATTATAATGACCAGTTACTTATTATTTTGCATTTGATATTGTTTCAATTTTCAGATTTTGACAATTATGTTTAATTCTGTATATTTCTTTTTCAGGTAACTGTGGCTGCATAAAAGGGCTATGTGATTTTACTGTAACAGTAAAGAATGTAATTCAGACTATTTTTGTGTATGTTTGAGAAAATGTTTATAATTTTTACAAAAAATAAAAAAAATTATGTACAGGTTCTCAATTTTCAACAAGATTGGAAGTTGTAGGTTAATAGGTCTTTGAAATTTCAAAAATTACTTTCTATTTTCTGTTCATTCTCATGTCTAGGCAAAACACTTCCAGTAGTTTAAGAATGGAGAATCTAAAAAAAAAGAAAAGAAAAAAGAGAAAAAGAAAAAAATGTTCAATTATTGAAATGTTTTTTATTTTTGCAAATTGTAATATATTTTTTCACCTTTGTGTCATTTTTAGCTGAGTTTATAACGAAGGGTATATTATTTTAAGAATATTTTACAAGAAGCATAGTTGAAGAATATCTTGATGAAAGTAGATTGATTGATTTTTGGTATTTAACACCACTTTCAGCATGATTTGCTATATCTTGGCTGCCAGTTTTTATTTGTTGAGACAGCCTGGTGAAAACATCCCCTTCAACAGAGAAACTTGCAACTATTGACGTTAAACACACCTACAATGTGAGGGTTCAGAGTGTTGACAGGCTAGTGATATAGTAGTTGAACTACTTTGACCATTCAGCCACCATTACTACATCCGCACTAAATATGTTATTGAAATGTGTTTAAATTTTGTAATTAAATAATTTTTTTATTTTGATTACCGGTATACTATTTATGTTTTTTTGTTATATATAACAAAGATGTGGAGTTCTAACAGGGTGAAATTTAGGTCAAAGGGAGGTAATTTATTATACTGTGTTTAACTTCAAATACTTGAAATTCCCTCAATGTTAGATTTTTATTTACTTGGATACTCACATTTATGCACTTTTTTACATATCAGATGTTTTCTAGATAATAGAAATTTAGGGTGGGAAAAATTATGTGTCACTTAAAATAATTACGTGAAATTTTTCAAAAAGTTTATTAATTGAAAGTGCATCTGATATTTTTTTATGTATGTTACTTTATTTTCTAAAAACAAATGGACACAACATAGATTGACAATAAGATATTGAGAAGAACCACCTTTTCAGCTAGGATAGCAGCTCTTAGGAAGATGGTCAATTAAATCTTCAACCAAGTCTGACTCTTTACCATGAAAATAGGAAAGGCAAGTTTATTTTAGCCAGATCTTTTAAGATAACAGACCCTTCTGAAATATTGCATTTAAAACACCATTGATGAATTAATTTACCAGTTTAGTATTTAAAGATACAAGATACATGAACAAGATTTTCTATTAAAATATCAATAGTAAATCCTAAAAATAGTCATTAAACTTCAAGAAAAAACCAGTACAATTTAAAACACGATTTTGCATATAATGGGAGATAACTTTGTAAAATATTCAGATATTTTTTGTGCAGTTAAATTTAAATCTGACGTTTTTTTACTTATCTATCTTTTATATTGATTTAGAAAAAAAATGATTTTATACAATTGTCTACCTGCAATAAGAAATCAGAACAATATTTAGTAAATTTTAGGTTATCGGTAACATCAATTGATACAAAATGTATAATGTGTTGATTATAATTTCATTTCAGGTTCTTTCTGAGACATGTTTTCATGGTGTGAGAATAAGGCTTGGTGGTCTTATACAGCTAATACAAAGGTATGTACCAGTATGTTAATCCTGTTTTGGAAAACTCAAATGTATTATAAATATTTTATGGAAAAACAAGATTTGAACGCTTAAAAAGATTTTTTACAGGAATCTACTCATTATTATATCAGTAACCAAATAAGAGTAAAGTTTAGGATCTGAATTGTTTACATAAAAATAGTGTTGGCTTGTTGGATTGCTGTCTCATCCATATGTTCTTGACATATATAACACATTTTAAGACTATTTCTATTTAATGATTTGCCACTGGACCTTAAGCAACCAACAACCAATCATTCAATCTATTCAATATACATACATAATACCAACAAAGAACCTTTTAAACAGTTTTTACATGCCCGTTTACGGGACGTATTATTTTATACCTCTGTCCTACTGTCCATCCGTCGTCAACATGTCGGACATTAACTCAAAACGCTTTAACCAATTTGCATAAAACTTAGGTGAATTGTTTATATCTATTGACGTGAGCTCCCTTTCGTTTTTTTATAAATTTTAGATTTTACATTTCCGAGTTATGGGGTTTTATTCATTAAAAAAGGGGTTTTTCCAGTTTTCGGACAAAACTCAAGAATGCTTTCACCAACTTGCAAGAAATTGTGGTGAATTGTTTATATCTATTGACATGAGCTCCCTTTCGATTTTTATAAATTTTAGATTTTACGTTTCCGAGTTACAGGGTTTTATTAATGAAATTATCATTTTATATTTCAGGTTAGCATCACAGCTTGTCTGTAAGGATTGAAGCTGGGAGTTGGCATTAGAGCTGACTTTTATGGTAAGAATCAATACATAGATTTATGAACTTTTCATCCAAGAGCATTTTAAAGCCCAAGATTTTTGTTAGGCACAGATGTAGATCTTATATATTAATGTCTTCTTTACTTATAGTTGAATAAACAATTTAGGAGGAGATATAAAGATATATAAGGGAAGTCAAAAAGTATAATGTATAATGCGAAATATTGGGATTTCAGTTTTTTGTTATCTATAGTTGTCCCCATATATGAAAATATGTAAGTGTGGTATGTATGCCAATGAGACAGCTATCAACCAGAGACCAAATGATGTGGATGCAACTAAATGTCACCCTATGCCTTCAACAATGAGCAAAACCTATATTGTATAGTTAGCTATAAAGGTTCAACATGACTAAATGTTAGAAAATTCAATCAAGTATGTTAATAGCCTGATATACTATATATAGCTATAAAACAATGTTAAAAAGATATTTGTCAAGACATCAGCCAATGACTTGTTTTTCATCCTTTTATTGCTAAGAAATACTGGTACTTTAAAATTTATGTCAACAAATCACTTTATAACAAAGAAAAAGAAATGTTCTATACATTATAATTGTAATGCTCAGTTAATAATAATTGTTTTGCATTAAATATTATTTCAATGTTCATGAGTAATGTATATTTCTTTTTCAGATAACTGTGGCTGCATAAAATGGTTGTGTGATATAACTGCAACAGTAAAGAATGTAATTCAGACTATTTTTGTGTATGCTTGAGAAAATGTTTATAATTTTTTTACAAAAAAAAAAAAAAAAATAATATGTAAAGATTCTCCATTTTCAACAAGATTGGAAGTTGTAGATTAACTTGTATTTGACATTACAAAAATTCTTTCTATTTTCCCTTTATACTCATGTCTAGTCAAAACACTTCCAGCAGTTTAAGAATGGATAATCTAAAAGAAAAAGAAAGAAAAAAGAAAAAAAAAGTTCAATTATTGAAATGTATTTTGTTTTGCAAATTGTAATGTATATATTTTTGCCATCTTTTTGTTATTTTAGGATTTGAGATACTTTCAAATTTTACAAGTTACTTTATACATGTAGTTAATGCAATTAAATCTGCGGATGTGAATATTCCCACTAAATTTCTTAGCAAAAATTTTAATTATTTTTGTTTTATTTAGCAACATTTCAAAATACCTTACAATAGCAAATGCCTCTCTTGTGTAAACTAAAAAGATGAATAATGGTCTGCAGTAAATATATCCCCTTACAACCTTTTCTTTCATGTTAATTTTAATATCTTTAAGATATGTGACAAGGGTGCTCTTAGTGAATGCAGAGGAATTAATGAAGTTAAGAAGTTAGAAATATATTTTTTGCACTTTTTTTGTAATTTTTAGCTGATTTTGGTTTGTAACCAAGGTGATATTTTTTAAAGAATAATTTTACAAAAGGCATAGTTGAAGAACATCTGGTTGAAATTGGATTGGTTGATTTTTGGTGTTAAACACCACTTTAACATGATTTACTATAATTTTGGCTGTAAATTTTTATTTGTGGAGACAGCCAGAGTGCCTGGTGAAAACATCACCTTCATCAGGGAAACGGTAAACCCTAGTCAAATTAAGAATGAAGTTACACATTTCATGTGAGGGTTCTCAGTGTTGACAGGCTAGTGATACAGTAGTTGAACTACTTATAGGACCACTCTACCACCATAAGTCGGTCAGTACGAAATATTTTATTGAAATGTGTTAGATTTTTGTTATCAATCTATTTTTTAATTTTAATTGTACTATTTTATTTATTTTGTTTGATATAATAAGGATGTGGAGTCCGAACAGGGTGAAATTTGGGTCAAAGGGAGGCAATTTATTATACCCCTGTTTAACTCCACATACTTGAAATTCCCTCAATGTTAGGATTTTCATCTACTTGGATATTCATGTTTGTACATTTTTTTTTTGATATCAGATGTATACTAGCTAATATTGACTATTATTTAGAGCTCTGTAATAAAAAAAAATAAATGTAAGCAGAGCTCTAGATAATAAGTATGCAGGGTGGGAGAAATCTTGGGTCATTAACAATTATTTGCTGAAATTTTCAAGAAAGGAGATTTATTGGAAATGCATCTGATATATTTAATGTATAAAACTATATTTTAAAAAAAAAAGATGTTAAGATGATGAGGAGAGCCACCTTGTCAGCCTGGAGAGCAGCTCTAAGGGAGATGGTCAATTTAATCTTCACCAAGTCAGAGGCTTTACCATGAAAAATATGTGGTAAGTTTATATATCCACAAATTTTATGGTAATAAAATATATATAGGCATTTAACATTATTTTTTAAGGGTTCTTTTCTATCAGTGTATGATTTTTAGAGTATCTTGTCTTACATTTGTTTTCTGTCTGGTATCGAGTGAGCTGTGTTGGATAGAAACCAACTGTATGCAAGTTATTATCAATGAATTTGTAAACTTATGTGGGTTGAACAAATTTTTATGCAAAGTCTGTAACTGTTTGAATATTGAATTGATATAGAATTATTTTCATAAAAGCGTGGACAAGACGATTTCTTGGCGCTCTTATGTTATCTATTGACTGGGTCAGATAAGGTGAAAATTTGTCTGTAACCCCACTTGTCACATTGAATGTGTTATAGACATTTTAAAAACGGGTCGCCAAAGGTTCTAAATGCCAAATAGTATGAATTACTAGCAGAGGACTAAACCTTGTGTGTTGATTTAAATGTTAAATAATTATTTTCTTTTTTTCTTCTCTTGTGCCTACATGTACTTTGCTCTTTTATTCTATTTAAATTCCTATTGGAAGGCCTCTGCCAGACTGAGTGAGCGTAAAATCACTGTTATCGATAGCCAATGGCAAACAAGTTAAAGGTACTGTAACTTCAGAAATTATTGCGTGCAATTATTAATAAATAAATTTGGTGTATTTACTGTCTTCTGATTGGTTAAAAGTATTACTTTTATTTTCAATGTTGTCAATTTTTATGGCGACACGCCCACTCTGACGTTGTATATTCATACGCCAACATCCGTGTACGTTATGGTTAATATAAATAATATAAAAAGTTCTTTGAGCCTTATTTTTGATAGAAATTTATTTATAATGAATGGCTATAATTTATTTTGAATTTATTGAACCATAAAATTAATTTTTGACTCTTCACATTTTACATAATTATTCAATGTGAAGAGTCAATAATTAATTTTATGGTTCAATAAATTCAAAATAAATAATAACCATTCATTAATTGCGATTTTGTAATTTTAGACTAAAATGCGATTTTAATTTTTGCGATATTGAGAAAAATCCTGTTTAATTCATATAAAAAATTTCAAAATGCTAGTTTAAATTATTGCCAATACAACCATGTTGCATTTTTCGCAATAATAAAAACATTGCAATAGTTTCTGAATTTACAGTAATTAAGTTAGTATTATTACCAACATAAGTATTGGGGCTGTCTACGCTGTTATGAAAATTATTTTAAGAACCATCAAAAGAGAACAAAACCATCCGATTTTGTAATTGAATATTCCAAAACCATTGTCTTATACATATACGTGCACTTGCACAAGGTCAATTTCTATCTCTTGCAGTTTAAAAATTTATATAGTGAAGATGATAATGTATAACAGGTTTTAATAAATGAAACATAGCATTATTTTGTTAGTCTTCTTAGAGACAGATTGATCTGTAAAACAAGTAATTATTTTTTAATTTTTTTTATATTTAGGTTGTTATAATGATGATGTTTTCATGGTGTTGGGAGTAAGACTTGGATGTCTGATATTGTTAACATGTTGGTAGGTAATCAAGCATCGTTTTAGTAATATAATATTTGAAATCAATTTCATAAGGTTCTTTAGTACCAAAAAAATAATTTTACACTGATGAGATACCGGTTGAATTTTTTTGGTAAATATAAAACTCAGTTTATAATTCAGAATACCAAATATTTTTTCCGTGATTTTTTGTTATCCTAGTGCAATTTTAAATTTAGTACATGTGTAATAAATTTTTTTAGGAAAGTTTAGTATAACTGACTACTTTTATATTCCAGGTTAGCATCAGGTTTCCATTGGGTTACTTGCTGGGATAAAGCTGTTATAAGGTGAGAACTTATTCATCAACATACAACTTTAAAGTGTTTATGTTATAGTGTGATGAATGACACTAAATAGATTTCAATATATATATTTTTTTTTAATTTACAATTAAAAAAAATCAGTATTCAATCTTTTCATTTTAAAATAATGTACCCTTTAACGCAGATACTAGATCTGAAGAAGTTATGAAGGGGAGATAACAATAAAATCGAATATTTTTGATACTATAAATTTTTGAGTAATCAATATAAGTAATAAACAAACTGTTTAACATACACTGATGTCTGTTTCTTTATTCCTGTTAGATTATTTTAAAATTAAGAATCAACAATTGAAATTTAACTTTGTTTCTTTTTCAGTCGAAAGAGTTGCTGTTGCTGCCTTCCTTGTATGGTAAAATCCTCAGACTACAATCCTGCAAACCATTGGATGAACTGTTGCTATCTTTTGTAAAAAAATTGGCAGATATTTGTCTTATAAGCAGAATGAATTATAAATGCAATTAATTTTTAATGCTTTATTATTCAAATTATAAATATTTATTTCATTATTTTTTCTTGCATTCAATTATTGTTTTGTGATTGAAGAAATATAAAAAAAAACTGTGAAATTATTGTTATTTGAGAGGTCCCAAAGGTATGATGTATGGTTTCACAAGATACTGGTTAGAAACCTATTAAGTAGGACTTTGATGGCCAAACACTAAAAGGGAATAAAACAAATCCCCTATTAAACAATTTAAGTACTGAGTTTTTGGTGCAATATGAACTAGAAATAAAAATGTTTACTAATAGTTAGATGGTTTGTTTTGACTCTGCATTCTTTACATTCATACAAATTAATGGCTGTCAGTTTTATTTATTGGTTTTGTTTATATATTATAAATGCATTATTCAGCATCTGAGGCCACTCAAGTGAAAATAATTACATAGTTTTTGCAGTTTGTCATATTTTTTCATTTTTGTGTGATTGATTTCTATATTTTTTCTCATTTATGATTATTTATATTTTAATGTTTGATTTTTGAGGCTTAATTGTACTCAGCTTCTAAACAATTACCTCCCCCCTCCACATGTATAACCAGGATCCTGTAAAAGAAGTTTTGATTTTGAAGGATTGATGGATAATTAAAAATGCAAGATTTTTTTAATGTGCTAGTTCATAATGTAAAAGTCTGCACAAGACATCTAACCCTACCTGAACACATTATTCTGACTTCCAGCTGACCAGTCTTTGCTCCTACTCCTAATTGCCGAATGCTTATCAGGGGAGCATCAAATACCAATTTTCAATTCTTTGATATGACCCAGGGCAGGACCAAATCCCATGCCCATCTGCACTCATGTTGAGCATAAAAAGGTTATTAAAGAAGATTTGTCTGTCTGTCTGTCTGTCTGTCCATCATCATCTCTCATCCACAGCTTATAAACTATTGGAAGGTTTTCATTTAAACTTTCAGATTATCTTCTGTATCTAATGGCTGTGTGTATTTTATTTTATTATAATGAAATTTTGGGGTTCTCAATTGTAATGAATGGACCTCCTAAGTTTTTGAAAAAAAGGGAAAGAAGCTTCTCATACCACCATTTTATCATGTGAAGGATAGGTTGGTTCAAATATATTTGTTTTTAATTATGTTTTTAGTAGTTGGATCTCATTATGACAAAATTTTAATGACTTAAATTCAAAATAAATTTGGGGTTCACACTGATATATATTACCACTGTAGCTTTAATGTAAATTTTATAAGGCTTTGCTATAACAAGATTTGTGTTTTATCTGGTTTTATCTGATTTTAGTGGTTTTTATGTGATTTTAGTGGTTTTTACTGTCAAATCTTGTTACAACAAGCCTTAGTATGATTGAGTTTATATATTTTGATTATACATGCAATTCAAAATATAAATTTACATAATGAGATCAGACATTTATTATGCTTTTAACTCTTCTTAGTGGATAAAAAAGAAAAATGAATGAACATAAATATTGAAGTGGTCATTGAAGATTGACCAAATTACAAGATTTATAAATGCAGAATCTTGCTCTAACTAAATCTATGTTCTTATCTTATCAGCTGAACCAACCTATCCTTCAATATGAGTAATAAAATTTTATAAATGGAAAAGTCCATTCTTCGATTGGGCAACCTTTGGATGTGAAAAAAATGTGCACAATGCCAACAGATACTGAAGATTATTTGAAAGTTTAGGCAAAAACAATTCAATCCTTTTAATTGTGATTGGAAGTTGTAGACAGATGAGCAAACAGATGATATACTTGCTGACTATGGCACATTTCCTAAAGGATATGGACTATGGGTATGGGTTTTGCTCATGGTTGAAGGCTGTAGGTGACTGATAGTTGTTAAATTCTATGTCATTTGGTCTCTGGTGCAGAGTTGTCTCGTTGGCAATCATATCTCCTCTTTTTATTTTATATGAAATAATTACTTATTACTTCCTGGGCAAAAAGTTCTGGTTCCAAGAAAATAATAAAAAAAAATATTTATATCATACATGTATTGTTAAATAACTATCCTACTTTGATATAAAGAATTGACTTTGGTTAGAAATTGGGAGGAATTATAAAGAAACTTATATACAATATAAGAGCTTGGGGTTATAAATGTTTAATGAAATGCAGTTAACTATTTCCTTGGTGATATAATAATTTTTGCATGGATCACGATATTAGTTTATTTAAATAACCCAGTAAATAAATTGAGTACACCTCATAAATGAATTTGATTCATGTATTTTTATGCATTTTTTATCTTAGTATTTACCATTGTATTCCTTGTTATATTTGTAAATGCCTCTTTGTATGTGACAAACTGAGGATTCATATATTTTATGGAATTATATAAATTTATTTTAAGTTTGGTATTTAAAAGTATTGGAAAGCACCAAGTTTAATATTGAGCAAAAAAAAGATTCCTTTAAGACCTCAGGATATTAAAATTGATTTTCTAAATTCTATTTAAACAGCTAGTCTGGGAACTGGTATCAAGAAACTAAAAAGAATCCTCAGCGCTTTCAGTTATTTTGTATAATTGTAATATTTAACCAATGATACCTTACCCATGATGCAGATCCTTTTCTTCCTTTTACTTATAAAGGGACTAAAAACTTATTATTATTACAATTTCTTTGGTATTTGTACACACTTGATGGAGCAGAATGGGTCTGGTTTCATTTGGGTATTTTATATTATGATGCATGATAATGATATAAATAAATAGGTAAATAAAAATTTAATTGAGAAAACCTATCTTATATTTTATTTGAGTCTGAATGACAAATAAAGGGGGAAGAGGTTTCTGTGGTCAAGGGTAACACACAGCTGATTTATTGTATGGTATGGACGAAGTTGAAAAAGCGAGACTTGGGCATGCTTTTTCCATAAGCAGCAGCTTCAACAATGTATTTGATTGTGATAAGTTCAAGTTAAAGAAAACAACTAGTGATACTGGTCAATGATATTTGGTATGCAGCTATATAAGCATTGAAACATCTTATTCCTAAGGAGATTATTTTGCTTCTCTCCCTCAGTCATAGTCGACTTAAAACGTTTAATTAGTTTATATGTATAAGTTTGCGATTAGGTCAATTGAAAGGGAACTATAAGTGGTATGTCAATGATATTTGGTATACAGATGTATAAGCATTGACAAATCTCAGTTCCATAGAGATTTTTCAGCTCCAGCCTCAGTCATGGTTTATTGACTGAATGTTTTGCATTATTTACATGTGATTTGTGATTAGATCAGTTTTAAGATGAGTGACTAATATCTGATATTTGGTATGCAGTTGTATTGGCATTTGCAAGTCTCATTTTCATAGAGATTATTTGGTCCTACTTCCTTATCATGGTTCATGGACTTTGAAACTTTCAGAGTTTAACAAGGAACCAATTGATAAGTCAATGGTGTTGGGTATGCAGTTTTATAAGCATTAGCATTTCCATGGTGTTTTTATTTTGCCCTTAACCGTCAGTCATTGTTCATTGCATAGATAACAAGTTTAAATATTGCAATTTAATTTCAACATTTGCATTATACACCAAAAAACGCAAGACATATCTCTGTGTCAGTTTATATGTCCATCTCTCGGTATCTTTCAACATCATGTTTTGAGTTTTAAATGTCACAGAAACTTCTTTGCTAGTTTAAACAAGACTTGACACAAATGATACTTAGGAATTACATGACAGAAATGTTCATTGGACTTGCTGATTACCTGATTGGCTGCCAAGTCTTTAAATAGATCTAGAATTCTAAAATGATCTAGTTTATATAAAGGCTCATCAGATACAAAACACAGGGATACAGATCTAGCAGTGGATGCTCCTGATATAAAACTTCATAATCAAGACTGAAGAAGAATGAGTTAATCCATATCTTGTATGCAGTTGCCTTATGGTCTGGTTTAATCTGGCATATGAACATTATCTTGATTCCATTTTTAAGGGTATGTGTACATTATTTGTTTTCAAATTAATTTGACAGTTTTTATGTATAATAAGGACAATTAATTCTCTTATGGTTATTGCCTGTGATCTATTTCTCACATGAAGAGATATATTTTGTATCACATTGCATGGATTGGGATAAGAAAAAGGTTTATGAAAAATTTGTTAATTTGAGTGGCTTATCCTGCACCATTTGGTCATCATTTAGGTTCCATGATTTGGTCTGTTCTCGGTCAGATTCTCTAGGTCAACAATGTATGGTGTACAGAATGATTGTAATGTGAATATGATTGTTTGATGAGATACATCTGACCATGGCCTTTTTTTGAAGTGTGGTCAACATTAAGTTTTTATAGACTGCAAAACTTTTGCCATTTTATAATGGTGTGGATATGTCGTCATTGTGGTCTGTAGACATGTTTTCCAGACAATAACTTGAGTATAAGTGTATAGATCTCAAAGAAATAAAACCACAAGGTCCCATACCACAAAAGGAAGGTATGAATTGAATTTGGGGTCATTGCACTTTGTGGTTATTGCCCTAACAGTTTAGGAATAAAGGTTAAAAAAAAGATTTTAGCCCTGTTAACAAACTAGTTCAAATTGAGGTCCAAAGGGTCCAAAATAAAAAAATAAAAAATTGAATTTTTTGAGTTCTTTGAAATGCTGATTCTAACTTATTTTAGATTTTGGATATTAGGGTATAGGTAAATGTATTTTTGAATTCTTAGACCACATTCATTTGGAGTCCGAAACCTATGCTGTGTCAATTATTTTATCACAATCCAAATTAAGAGCTGTATCAAGCTTGAAAATTGTGTTCATACTTGCCCCAATTGTTCATGGTTCAACCTCTGTGGTTGTAACAAACTGTGCCCAGTGCAGTGCATTTTATTATGATTAGGTCAGAACTATAGTGAGTGTATAAAATGATTGTAAGGTGTAGTATGGTTTATATTTGCATCTGACAGGGTTTATCTGAAATTTTTTGGAAAAAAAAGTTTGTTTCCAGTTTTTGGAGAAAAAAATAATTTGTTTATGACCCTTAGAAAAAAAAATTGTTTCACCCTCAGCTGCCACTATATGTAATGCTAAAATTGAAAGAAAAAAATTGTTTTCGACTTGTCGCCAAAAAAATAGATTGTTTTTCGCCAAAGTTTGTCCGGAAAAAAAATCCATAGCCTCCCCCCCACCCCCCCCCCAGAAAATCAAATGGTTGCTGCCTTATATGTATATTGGTGCTCAATATGAAAATGTTACTAAATTTAGATTTATGACTTCATGACGTCACACATAACAACTACGGAGGAAAAAAGAAAAGTTGCAAGTTTATCCTGAGACTATTATACTAACTAGTATAATAGTCCCAGCCTCTAGTCTATGCAAATGAATATAACATGTCTCTGGTAGCATGCACTGCAAGTAGACTTCTCATAGTAGGGGACAAAAGAAAAATCTTTAATTCAAGATATTTTGGATTTTGTTTATTTTATCCTTATGTCATTCATTTACTGACTATTTAATCATAATTTATGGGTGATTTGTGAATAGTTTTTTTTAAATTTTGTTTATTGCTTGTTTTGCTTCGTTTTCTCTAACTGCTGGAAGAATTCAACCATCATTTAAATTTCGGTGTCCCGGGTCAACGAATATACTTGTAACTTTTGATTCACAGTGCATAAAATTAGTCTTTAAATTATGTATTGAAGGTGAATTATTGTGAATCAATCAAATAAAAAAAACCAATAAATTAATAAAAGATGGACAAAAATTTGTTTATATAAAAGAATGCGAGTTCGGTCTGTTTTATTTCAAAAAATCACTGCTATATTTATATGTAATTAATAATTGGGTCACAGTGATTCAATTGAGACGATAAGGGAAACCTATTGGTCCCAGGTTTTTGTTCAATTTTTATTAGTCTGGTGTGATTGTCGCGGCTTTTTATTTTATTTAATGCTCAATTAATTGAAACCAGCTGGATAATTTCATCCTTGTATGTTTTTTTATGCAAGAAAAGCACTCTATTCGGTATTGTAACACACTGATTGCGATACTACATATTTGCGTGATATGTTCGAATATGCCAGATTTATTTTAGGTCTAGTTGACCGGAAATGACTTCAATTTACACTGCGCACGACACAGATATTGTTTGTTGACACACCTTTGGACTATCTTATTTATACTCGTAAAGTGTAAGTTATGCCAGTTAGATACATTTATTGAGGGATTTTAATCCCCTATTTGGAATATTTCTTATCTGACATGACTATTTGATTCCCTTACTAGCTATCCATTTTCACCTGTTAAATTTTAGAAAGATTTTTAGATATATCTCTTTGATCTCCCCATATGACCTGTTATTTCAAAATAGTTTTGAAACTTCCTGGTTATATGAGCTGCAGTAGGTGATAAAAAGTTTAAATACCCATGTGACCTGTGAAAGATTAAGGTTCGTCATAACCAAAATTTGACAAACATGATTGTGTTTACACCTCGAAAATTACTCAAAATCTTGAATAGGTCACTTCATTGTGCTGTATATAACAGGAGATTTAGAGGTAGTCTTAACTGCTTGAGTTAGGGAAGTTCTCCTTTGGTTCCGACGGTGAGAGCACTGTTTTTCGATCCCTAGATTGAGGGTTCAAATCCTGGGGGTACCATCCATGTATTTCCACAATTTGGGCTGCAAGTATCTACTGACTGGCACATTCATGTACGAGTGTTTGTGAGTACCTGGCAGTTGGATAGTTTTGGTAATGAGGTTTGAACAGGTCATTAGATGACTGTGACATGTCTTGGAGACATGCAAGGAACTTGCCAGAGGGTTCTCAAGAGAAAGTCTCTGGGGTTGTCCAGTAGTGGATGTCAGCAGTGTTTTCCCCAGGATTTTTTTAAGGCGCAAAATTCAAGGGCATGTAACTCTTTTTTTAGAGTGATCTGAAGCAATAAGTCATAAATCATGACATGCAATATGAATTATAATGCTTTGTGTTATGTGTTTAATAATGCAGAGTATTAATGAATTACAAGAATATATATATGAAATAAATTGATTTTAAACACAAAAGTTATTTATATTCAGTCAATTAAAGAAGTCAAAATATAAATATTCATCTCTACTCTCTGCTCCTTCTAGGGATATTGTTTTAGATAGTGTTATTTTGTTGGACAGTCTGTTCCTCAACTTTGTCTTTATCCTCTTCAGGGTTAAAAATTAAACCCCCACTCACAATAACTTTTGCTTATATCCCCTTTAACATTTCTAAGCCATGAAAACTCAGTCAGCCACTTGTCATTGAAACCAGAAACATGGTGCTTGCTTTTAATAAATGGCTAAAACTTAAGCTTGGTTGGGATTAGGAGAAGCAATGAAATCTGCTTATACTGACAGTGTAGACGGAGGTGTATTCCCCTTTTCATTAGAAGTCATTGGTCTGAAAAAAACTTCTACTTCCATCATCTACCTTTTGCTTATAATTCACCCCTTTGTTATTTGCAGAGAACATGTTCATTCAGAATTAATAAAATCGAATATGGTTAAGATATTTGGTATACAACTTTTTAAAACAAATTTTTTTTATAAATGAACAGCTGACCAGTTTCCGTAGTTTCACATTACGCTTCCGTGCGTATTATAGTTTAATCCTATCTTTGGCAGATAGATATAAACGAAACTTTACAAATTCGTTAAAGTTAAAACCATTGAAATTATTTACCAGTGACATTATACAGAAGCTGCTGCGATTCTGTACCCGTGTTGATTGTCACATATTTCCCTACGCACAGATTCACGATCGATGTTCAATGATCATTTTATTTAAAAAAATATGACAGTTTCAGACGAATTTACCTTGCAAGCAACATTTTTTCACTTTCTATTAAAGTAAATCACTCTTCGTTATCTTTGATCAAACTTTATTTTAATTTTTTCAACTACTAATACTTTCATTCATAGTTTTCATCGTAAATATCTTTAGCAATGTGTATTCAAATTTATCATGTGTATTCAACACGTTCATTGGTCGTGTTTAAATAGATTCTTCTTCTCGACCAATGAAAAAATTCGTTATATATATGGTCAAGTGATCACACACACGATGTGTAAATACAATGTATTTGCGATCTATTTCTTCAATTTCTGCACTGAAGTTTTTAAAAAATTTTATTTTCTTCAAAAAATATCTATCTTCTTGATGATCATTTACGCTACATGTATTACCTGATAACATAGTCCGATAAGGCTGAGATAAGCGTGGCTCAGGTAAAACTAATTATCAGTTATTGCGCAACACTGACCGACCCATCAGCGGTGATTAGTTACTTGACAATTTTAACGAACATTTATAATGAAAATGTGAAAATTAACACGCTGCAGGATCAAGTATTAAGGGACAAAAATATTATGAAGGCGCTGCTGCACCGCAGCATCATATCGGCCTGGGGAGAACACTGAATGTGTCAGCTGCTCAGATGGATGGTATGCTGAACAGAAAAGGAAAGAGAGAAGGATATTGTATAACTGGAGATATAAAAGTAGTCTCTCAGTTGAGTTGGGGAAGATCTTCTTTGGTTCAGTCAGTTAGATCGCTGCTTTTATATCCCAAGATTCCACTAACATGACTCAGTTGCACTGTTTAATTCACCAATTGTTGTTCAGATATCTATTGTTTTTCTGTTGTCCATATTAATCAATAGAATATGCACTTTTTAATTCAAATAAATTAATCATGTTAATATTTACATCTTCATTGACCTTTCTGCAGGAACCAAAAAGTGCCCATCTAAATCCAGCAACGTGTTTAACTTCTGCAGGCTTTTAAAACTTTTATAGTTGCTTAGGTTTGTCCATGCTGAGTAATATTTGTGGTGTAAGCACAGTCATCTTTTGTCAAATATAGGTGGAGTTTAAATGAACTGTTAGGCACAAATGCAACTTTTTATCATTATAGTTATATAGCCAGAAATTGAAAAAGGGGGAATCTACCAGTCAGGTAATCAAAAGTTAAATTATTGGTGTCTGTGGAAGATAAAGAAGTCTTTATAAGTAATAATTAAGTAGTATAAGACAGGTTGCTAGATTGATACCTCTGAAAAACATTATCTTTCAAAGAATCATACTCAAAAACAACCAGGTATTCAGTTCCTAACAAAAAGTTGTTGCCTTTTATGTAAATCATTTGCACTTTGAAATTATACGATTACGCATATCCCTTGAATCCAATTGAGTTGATTTCCCATGATATTATTACCCATTTGGTTAATTTGTCCCTACCTGTTCAACATAAAATTATTTCATACTTATCTTCTTTAATTTGGAATTAAACTATATGTATGACCAGCTGATGACTGAGACCACTAGTTAAAATTCATGAAGATTTTTACATGTCAGATCTAATGAAATTACAAAACAAAAATACAATGTACATGCCTGTGTCCATAGGGCACTATGCCTCACTCTCATTCTCCTATTTCCATGTTCAGTGAAGCATGGAATCTTTGCCAAAATCTAAATTTGACATACATGTGTGCCTTTAACTATTCATTTTATAAGGAACATGTGTATTTAATTTCATGTTATTATGGCCACAAACTATCTAAAACCAAATTTTTAACCTGCTTTAAACATGTTGAAGCCAAACTTGAACCTACATGTACAAAATGTACTTGTATCAAATTTTCATGTTCAGTGAATTTTAAAATCATGGTCAAAGCCCCAATTTGGCTTTAAACAGTTCTCTTCATAATGAACAAGTGTACCAAATTTCAAGATGATGTGACAATTGAACCCTCAAAATGGTTTAATCCCGCCACATTCTGTATGCCATGTATGCGTCTGTCCAAATTCAGGAGCCTGTATTTCAGTGGTTGTCATTTGTTGCTGTATAATATATTTGTTTTTTCGTTCATTATTTGGACATAAATCAGGCCGTTAGATTTCTCGTTTAACATGTTTAAGGCTCAACAGGAACAATTGACAAATATAGCAGAGTAAATTATTTAGAATTATATTTTTCATCATTTTGAAAGCTTTTGGATGCATAACTAATTTCACACATGTGCACATGTACTTACATGTATATAGTCACTATATACATTTGTACATTGTACAAAGCAAGGTTCTTTCTTTTTTTTGCTCATTAAACTTTTAAATTTATCATTTAATCATTTAAAAAAATTAAATCATATATTGATAAAATTATATAGATATGGCCAGAAAAGTGTGTCTGTAATAGGGAAAACATGAGGCAAACATGATTGTCTAAAACTAGAATTGTTTTTCTGAATCATATTAAAGTGGCAAACCCATATTTGATGTCTGTAAGTACTACATGTACTACACCAGCGGTTCAGAAATAAATTTTACCAGTCATGAATGTACAATACTTCTGTTTTGGAAGCCATGATATTTAGTGTGACGTCCATTTTTGCTGAACTAGTATACATTTTTATTTAGGGGCCAGCTGAAGTCTGCCTCTGGGTGCAGGATTTTCTCACTGTGTTGAAGACCCATTTGTGGCCTTCGGCTGTTTTCTGCTCTTTGGTCGGGTTGTTGCCTTTTGACGCATTCCCCGCTTCCATTCTCAATTTTATGACATATACATGTATGGTTTACAATATTATTATCTTTCATGTCTTTACTTGACATTATAGTACAAAAATGTACATTATCTGTTTTGTCAAATGATTAAGTTTTTTTGACATAATCAAAGTAATCGTAAATGTAATAAATCCTTTTCTTCTTTTTAACTTTCTAAATCCTTTATTCTATATACATGATATATAAAGACATTTAACCCCCAGGGAATTACGTAATGGAATTCTTTACACCTATAAAAAACTGTTAAGATTTATTTTAATTAGGTTAGTTATTTAATTTCTTAAGATAGCATTTAATACAATGTACCTAATTTGTATTTCAACTAACAATAGTAATTTGTAGGATTTCACATATTTATCATGTTGATGTTCTGACATCTAAAATATTGGTTATACTTGTTTTGTGGTTTATTTTGTCTAGACATAGAAAATGTAATATATATTTTTTTTTAAACCAGTACCATTCATTTATTATATATTCTTCCATTACAGAACAGTGAATCTCACATTATGTCAGGCCCACCACCACCCTATCCAGGAGAAAAAGGTCAAGGTAAGTTCAAATGTCAAACCCGGCTCACACTTTCAGGAAATAAAGGTCATGGTGATTTATAATGTCTGGATCACCATATCCAGCAGATACATTTTTGTAAAAGTCAAGGTTTAAATGTCAGACCCCCATCTCCCCAAAAATAAGGGGAATGGCCACACTGACTTTAAATGTCAAGCTTACAAGGACACAAACACATTTTTATACGACCACAAAAAAAATTTGTGGTCGTATATTGGTATGACGTCGTCGTCGTCCGAAGACACATTGGTTTTCGCACTCGAACTTTAGTTTAAGCGAATGGATCTCTTATGAAATTTTACCATAAGGTTCAATACCACAAAAGGAAGGTGGGGATTGATTTTGGGGGTTATTTTACCAACAGTTAAGGAATTAAGGGCCAAAAATAAGCATTTTTGTAGCTTCCAGACATAACTTGTGTGTTAGTGTATGGATCTCTCTGACATTGTACCACAAGGTTCCATATCACAAAGGGAATGCTGGGATTGATTTTGGGGGTAATTGCCTCCAAATTTTAGGAATTAGGGGCCAAAAAGGGGCAAAAAACAAGCATTTTTCTAGTTTCATGACAATAACTTGTGTGTAAGTGTATTGATCTTTATGAAATTGTACTACAAGGTTCCGTATCACAAAGGGAATGCTGGGATTGAGTTTGGGGGTAATTGCCCAAAACGTTTAGGAATAAGGGGCCAAAAAGGGGCCAAAAATAAGCATTTTTCTAGTTTCCAGACAATTACTTGTGTTCAAGTGTATGGATCTCTCTGAAATTGTACTGCAAGGTACCATACCACAAAGGGAAGGCTGGGATTGATTTTGGGGGTAATTGCCTCAAAATTTTAGGAATTAGGGGCCATAAAGGGGCAAAAAAAACAAGCATTTTTCTAGTTTCAGGACAATAACTTGTGTGTAAGTGTATTGATCTTTATGAAATTGTACTATAAGGTTCCATATCACAAAGGGAAAGCTAGGTTTGAGTTTGGGGGTAACTGCCCTAAACGTTTAGGAATTTGGGGCCAAAAAGGGGCCAAAAAACAAGCATTTTTGTCGAGCCTTCGACTTTTGTCGAAAAAGCGAGACATAGCGATCCTACATTGCGGCGGCGGCGGCGTCCACAAATATTCACTCTGTGGTTAAAGTTTTTGAAATTTTAATTACATTCTTAAACTATCCTGGATTTCTACCAAACTTGGAAAGAAGCTTGTTTATGATCATAAGATAGTATCCAGAAGTAAATTTTGTAAAAAAAAAAATTCCATTTTTTCCGTATTTTACTTATAAATGGACTTAGTTTTTCTGCTAGTAAACATTACATTCACTCTGTGGTTAAAGTTTTTCAAATTTTAACAACTTTCTTAAACTATCCTGGATTTGTACCAAACTTGGACAGAAGCTTGTTTATGATTAAAAGCTAGTATCTAGAAGAAAATTTTGTTAAAATTTGTTCCATTTTTTCCGTATTGGACTTATAAATGGACTTAGTTTTTCTTCCAGTTAACATTACATACAGTCTGCAGTTTAAGTTTAAAAAAAACATTTATTAGATTCATAAACTATCCTGGATTTTTACCAAACTTGGACAGAAGCTACTTACAATCAAAAGATAGTATAGAGAGGAATATTTTTATTAATTTTTTTCCTCATTTTTGTTGAGCCTGTGATAACAGCAAAAGTAGGCGAGACACTGGGTTCCGTGGAACCCTTACAAATTTTTCTAGTTTCCAGACAATAACTTGTGTTCAAGTGTATGGATCTCTCTGATTTTGTACTACAAGGTACCATACCACAAAGGGAAGGCTGGCATTGAGTTTGGGGGTGATGAATCATTAGGGGGTTCAACAAATTTTTTTTGGGGGGGGGGGATTTTTTTTCCTTTTTTTTCTTTAAAATTTTCCATTTTAAATTGGTTATTTCTGATTTATATATAAAAGCAAATAATAATGATATGGTTTGAATAGGTAAATTAAAAATTTTAAAGTTCTTAGACCACATTCATTCTGTGTCAGAAACCTATGCTGTGTCAAATATTTAATTACAATCCAAATTCAGTGCTGTATCAAGCTTGAATGTTGTGTCCATACTTGCCCCAACTGTTCAGGGTTCGACCTCTGAGGTCGTATCAAGCTGCACCCCAGCGGAGCATTTTATCTAGAGATGAAGGCCAAACAGCAATATTAAAAGGCCAACTTTTGACAGTTAATATAACAGAAGTACAATAAATTTTTATCCTTGAAAACCTATGTTATCTATATCTTGATAGTTGCAATGAATATTGTATATATGTACAATACATATACAGTCAAACCTGTATTAAGCAGTCACTCATGGTAAGCATCAAAAGTGACCACTCAAGAGAGAGGACCTTTTAAAAGAGGTTCCAAAAAATTCTGATTCCATCAATGCCGGTGGTGGGAATAGGGGCATATTATTTTAGTGTGTTACTGTTCTTGGAGCAGTGAAATAAAAAATTGCAGATTCTGTCTGTGTTAATTTGAAGAAACTTTGGAAATATATATTCGTGGAGAATTCAATGGAAACTGAAAGGAGAAGAACATGAGGAATTCATGGATTCACCTCCTATTGGGCGATCTTGGTTTCAAACAGGTTCCGATTCTCATTTTGACTTCTATATTGAACACAATTTTTTTTAGGTCATAATTACATGTACATTGTGACATGTAGTTAAAAACATTAAAATGACCATTGTTTAAAGTTAAATGGCAATTTTGTGCGTAAAAATTGGGTGACCATTGAAAAGAGTTAATATACTGATATATAGAGAAAACTTTTGGGAGGGTCTGAAATTAAATGAACGTTAGAGACAGGTAACTGCTGAAACAAGGTTTGACTGTATGATATTTTTAAAACTTGAAGTAAAGGTGATATGCAAGTTTAATTAAATAAATATTTCCTGGTTATTTCACTATAAGTATTTATTATGCGTAATGAATTACCTTAAGTTCAATTTCCTGTACTTAAGATAATAAGATTTTTTTAAATTACATGTACAATTTAGGATTTCTTATATGCTTGCTAGTATAGTTGATTGTGCCTATTTTAAGATAAATCATTTTATATCACTAATGAGGATTGCACATGTGTTTGTTGTTAGTGACGGTTGAAATCTACCATGTTCCATTATACAGTATACATTTACATATTGCTTTTTGAACAGGTGAAAATAATGTTTACTGCATAGTTATTGATTTTACCTTATCACAAAAAAAAAGTGATAAATATGCTGTATAATAGATACTATTTACAATAAGTCCAATCTGATTATTGAAAATTGAGGCATTCTAATTAAGAATGGTCATTGATCTACATGATAGAGATGTTCTGATTCATTAATGTCTGGATGGGGGAGGGGGGAGATGTCCTTCGTGTCTTTATTCCTTAATTTTTTTGACCATTTTTCTCTATTCTTTATTCATTTTGCCCATTATTCTCTATTCTTTATTTTTTTAGCCATTTATTCTGCATTTATTTTCTATTATTTAATCTCTATTCTATAAACCCCATCCAGACCCTCATTAGTAGTAAGCTTTGTATAAGGAATACTAACTAGGAGGTCATCTAACTGTCCAGGGGTCTTAGTGCAAGTGAAAAAAGGGCAATCTCTGCAAAGGTGATACCATAATTATAAATATCTATAGACATGATAGAATAAATATAATATAAAAAGAGATATCCAAGTGTGAATCCCAAACAATTGTCAGCATTCTATACATAAAGAATTTTAACTAATGGTAATTATTTTTTACCAATGTGTGAGCTGTATTTACTTGTATTTTGAAAATGAATGAAATTTTAGATAAGTAAATGTAGCTTCTTTTATACTTGTATAATAAGAGGAACCTTCACTTTGCTGTTCATATAAATGCTAAGAAAATCATTTGTGCAGGTTCATTGTAGATAAGTACATCATTCAAAATCTGAGTGAAAAAAAAATGTCACCAACAGCACTATATATGCATAGAAAAGTCTCATATCTTTAAAATAATGTTTCTTTTTAAGTTTTATTCCTCTGATATTTTGTAGAAGCAACATCAAGCACATGGAGTTGTAGAATAAGTATAATTGTTATTTGTTATTTACATTTCAGAAGCTGGATACCCACCACAACCTCAACAAGGTAGGTAGTCAATCATCTTTTATGTCCCATCTGTAAAATGATCTTTTAATAATGAACAATGTAGGTAAAGTAACCAGCATGTAGATTTGCCCTTGTCTATACCCATGTTCCAATAAAACGTTTTGCATTTACAACCATTATGGAGAATCTTGTGGTTTTATGTTGCTATTGCATGCATGCAGCTCTTTTGTGAAGCCCTTGAACTAAATCGATCATATGTTAAGGCAACACATGACATTATGATATAATAAAAGTTATGTAGGTTATTCCTTTTCCTGTTAGTAGAATTGTTTGTTTGAATGAAGATTGATTGGTGTGAAAGACATATGAACATTTTTATTACTTAAATTTTAATATCCAAATATTTCCAGCTTTCTATTTGAATCTGGTTGGCGAAAGTTGTAAGAAAAGAGACTTTTTTTCACCATAAAACTTAAAGGAGTTCATAATAAAAGTTTGATATTATCTGTTTTTATAATTACACGTTTTGGGACTTAACTTCATTTGACATGTTTGACCTTAAATTTTTGAAAAATGGCCTAGGGATAGTTTTAAAACAGTCACATTTACCTGTGGTCTGTAATGTCAGATGTTTTCTGCTGTGACAAAAAAATTATGAACAAACATTGTTTTTGTTGTTGAGCAACTGTTTTTGTGTATTTTAAAAAAAAACATGTCCCACAGACATTATTACTTTTTTAATAAAAAAAATCTTCCTGATTGAAAGCAAAGTATTAAAAATCAAACTCAAGTAAATGTTGGAACATTCTTTGCCATTTCCAAAATAATGTAAATCTTTAAGCATCTTCCAATATATATAAAACAGTTGATATCTGTCTGAAACCAGAGTTCTCACAATCTTGTTTAGCCTGGTGGTGATTAGGACCGCCATGACTACAAGTCTGGCAGTTCCAGTTAAAATTTAATGGTCCTGTAGTTGCAGTTAAATGTTTGCTATCAATTATTTGCATAGGTATAAATTAGATCAGGCTATTAAATTATATGGTTCCATACTACACATCATGATCAGGAGCTAAACTTATTACCAGAAAGCCAAAGAAGGAATTAAAGTTAAAACCACTTTAAACTTTGAGCTGGACATCAGAACCACCACTACACTCAAAATTGGCCCACCTGCCAGAGTTTTTGTGGTCAGGACCATCAGGACTGCCAGTTTTTAGAGAACACTGTTAAACATGTCAGAAGTCATTAATTTTCCCACCACATCAAAGGTACCACCAACAATGGAACTAAAGAATGATACTGTATAAATTAACAGAAAATGACTGTATTAGATAAAGCCTTGTAGTATATATACTAAGAAACTGTTTATGATTTTCAGGTTACGGACAGCCTCCTCCACCACAGGGATACCCACAAGCAGGTTAGTATATTAAATTATTGAGGGGTTAGAATGTCTACATACATGTATATATCATGTATACTTACACATATATAGATTTTAGACCTTTGTGACTATATGTATATATGTATATTATGTAAACTTATATAGTACTGTTTTATTTGGAAAAATAGTAATTTTCACAAATTTACTAATAGTCAAATTAGTTAAAATAGAAATGTTTAATCATTTCAAAAGAAACAGTAGACAAAATATTTGACAAGTCAAATTTATAGGGTAGAAAGTCAGTGCATTCAGGAATTTGGCAAAAGATGAAAATAAACTTTTCTAATTAAAGAAAGGTAATTTCCAGTTAATTATGAGATGACAATGCGGACCCTTATCAGCAACATTTAATTAGGAAATGTTAAAAAATAAGCATGGTAACACACTTTTTATTTTTATTTATTTCAAAATGCACAATGAAAGCCATATCATATGAAAATAACAAAAGCTTGTAAAAAGTGCTGACAATATTCCTGAGCTTTTGTTTTATTTTACAAAATGCTCATTTATCAGAGTTTAACAATCAATCTTATTTGGGTATTCTATTGTCAAAAATACCTGTTAAAAGTAAAAAATTAAAATGTCAGAAACTTTAGCAGCAAGTGTTCTGTATTTAAGCATGATTTTTCTAAGAAAACAACCACCCCAGTTCTTAATTAATAATCTCATCCCCCCTTCAAATCTCAAAATCACACAAATGACGACACAATGTAAAACTATTGACCTCCCTTGAATAGATTTGTAAATGAAAAATAATTCATATGGCTGACATTCAGGTACATAAATGATTCCTTTCTATTGTAAGTTTATTGAAACCTTCTAGTTTCTGGCTCCTTAGGGTTATCATTTAATCACAGAGTATTTCAATTACTTATAATGGCAAACTCAAAATTAAGGTATGGGGATTTTTTTAAAGAGGAATTTACTCATGGAAAATTTATGGAAGCCAGTTTTCATATTTTAGCTGAGGTATACATCAATGAGACAGCAACCCAACAATGTAAACCCACAAAGATTTTTTGTTGCTTTAAACATGTTAAATGGTTTATGATTTGTAATAGTTGAAAAAAAAACTATGTACAATGGAAATCAAATTTTGTGGTCTTATTAAAGGCTTACTAAAAGTCATTGAATTTTGCTTAACCATAAATGAAAATGTGTTGGTACAATGTATATCCATAATCATAATTCTTGTACTTAAATATATCCACATGTATTTTTTGCTGCGTGCTTGAAGAAAATAATTTTGCTCAGCTTTTTATTTTAATAATTTGCATTTGCTTGCTATTTCTTTGCTAAGGATATGGTCAGCCTCAACCTTATGGACATCCAGGTGAGAAACTCTTGTACAATTTTTTAAATTGCATGTTTTCACTATCCAGAAACTCTGAATAAATGTCTTTCCATGATAAATTAACATAAGTCTTTAGAATGCACACAGAAATGTTTACTAATATTAGGCATGTTAGCTCAGCTATACATTTATTTGTGACAAAATCTTGTGGTTCAGTAAAAACTGTTCTTTTCAGTATTACATGCAATAGTTTTTAGTTGTTGTTTAAGTAGTTAGATTAAATTGATGATAAAAGTTATTGACATAAATGAACTAAAATTGACTACTGTTACATCCTTATTTGAAATGGAAATCCCTGAGAGAGAAAAACATCTGAAAAAGTGTCCAATTAAACCTATGTCAAAATGAAATGTGAATAAATAATGTTTATTTCATGTCTATTATGTTTACCTAATGTACCTGAGAACATCCTGGTTAAATTAGTAAACAACATGTTGATAAGGATATGCTGTTTGAAAATTTATGGTCCTTTAAAAATTGATAATTTATTTTTAAATACTTGAAATGTTGAGGTAACCATTCAAAATTGATACCTTAATTTTTAAAACCTGAAATATTGAGTAAACCAATAAATACATGTCATACACAGTCATAATTAATTTTTTTGAAAGTTTATTATCTGGACATGTCCATTACGATTTCTTTGTTAAAGATTGTAGTTGGCTTTCATTACAGCCATATACACATTACTTATCAATGAACAAAATCATCATTTCACAAAGGTCTTTATATTCAGTAGAATAGATTATGTTACAGTAACAGATGTTTTTTTCTGGTCCAATTAAATGTCCAGTATGATTTAGAAGACCTTCATAGTTTTAATACACAAGAAAATCAAATAATCTGTTTGGTCAAGGTTAAGAATAAAATTTACAGTACACATTATATATTATTATATGACATAGGGTTATCCAGTTAAAAATCTCTCTCTTAGTTGTGTTTCACAGTGACTTATGCTGATCATCTACAATTCATTCACAAATATCTTTTTGTGAATTCCCTGGTGAGTATATGACAGGATTGTAAATCAGAGTGTAATCACCTATCACAAGCAATCACTGTGATTTACATTGAATCAATCAGCACCAGCAAGTGTGATTATTGGCCTGGGTTGGACAAAGTAAAGTTGGGCTTATAGTATGTTGATGGTGGGCAGGCTGGTACAAGTACTCACAAATTTTGCAACCTGGCCTTTTGAAACTTTGAGACATTTTTGTCTTGCTTTGACAGACGAAAAAAGCGAAACTTTTTCTGGTTGGGACATAAACATTGAATTTGTTTGTGATTAGGTCATTTTATGGGGAACTCCTAGTGGTAGGTCACTGACATTTGTAATGCAGTTGTATAAGCATTTGCAAGTCTCATTTCCATGGAGAATATATGGTCTGCCCCCTCAAGATGGTTCATTGATTTTGAAACTTTTGAATAGATTACAAGTTAAATGTTTGTGTTTAGGTTAGATTTAAGGGAACCACATATGATAAGTCAATGATATATGGATTCAGTTTTATAAGCATTGGCATTTCTTATTTCTATGGAGTTTATTTGACCCTGCACCTTCCATCAGGGTTCATTCACTGTTGTTTGGCATAATTTTAAAACATGTTTAAATTTTGCCATTTTTATTTCAGCATTTGCATTATACTTTCAAAATTACAAAACAGTGAGACATATCTCTGTGGCAACAGTTTATTAACTGAATAACCTTATTTGTAATGTACTTCACCAAATCAGTTTATTAAAGAGGCGGAAGATACCAAAGGGCCTACAAAATTCAAAGAGAAACCGACAATACCATGTCAAAAAAATAACAACATGGAAAAGACAAAAAACAGTCTACAATCATGACAAAACGCTACATAAATCTTGAATCACTACCATATAATTACATTAGATTGAAATTCAATTGAAATTCAATAAAAAATATTTATGTGATAAGATTTGTTTGAAGGCTATGCAGGTGGTTACCCTGGTGAGTTTTTTATGTCATATCTGATTGGTGTACAATTGTCATATCTTGTTGTTGTACCATTGTCATTTCTGATTGTTGTACCATTTTCATATCTGATTGTTGTGCCATTGTCAAATCTCGTTCTTGTTCAATTTTCATATTTCATTTTTGTACGTTGTCATATCTCATTGTTGTACCGAATTCATTTATATAACCTTAGAGGAACTATAGTTTAATCAGATATTTGATTAACATCTTTGCTTTGTTGTAGGATGTCAAAAAGATTATGATATGGAAAAGGTCATTTAACAATTCACATCAGTAATTTTTTTTAACTTTTCAGTTAAAGCATAAATACCCCAAAACCTTTTCTTTTAATATCCAAAAAGGGAGCTGTCATTATAAGGCAACATGTCTTAAAATAAGAATTTACTATCATGTTGGCCAATTTACTGGCTTGGATCTGAAATAAAAGCAATAGCTATCCTCATTGAAGTATACCCTACATCTCTTTTTATAAAAAAGTTGGATCAGCCTTTAAAATACTTTTTTTTATGGTATTTGGTATATTTGATTTGTCATTTTTTGACGATCATATTTGGTTTTTGTAAGGGTATGATCATTACTACATTCTTTAACATTGATTTTGAATATAATACCAATGTACCCTAAAGGAAAGATTAGATAATCATTAAGTTCTTAAATTTCACTATACAGTTGAATACAATATGTTTTCATTCCAATTAAGGTCCCTCAGAGGGGCAATGACAAAGATTCAATCATAATTCAGTTCTATTAACAAATACAATATAGGACAAATTTGAAATATTTGACATGTATTTGTTTTTTAAGAAAATAAGGGGAAAATGACCGTTTTAAATGCTAAGATCTCTGCAGGTGGGTTATGGTTGGCAGTTCAACCCCAGGGGAGGCAAAAGTTTATAGATGTAACAAAGCCAACAATGACTATTTGTAAATTCAATACCATCACCTTCAGACAATATTTTCGACTGATTGATTGTAAATAGTTTTTTTCAGTCTGATCTTAATGATAAAAAAAAATTTGTCAAAAGCAATACCTTGCAGCCTAATATTATTTCCGTTTGGTTTATTTTTTAGCTCTCATCTGATGTGGAATTCCATGCTTAGGTAGCTCTGAATCACACAACTTTTAACAGTACATGTGTATGTTATTTTATAAAAATTAAAACAGACAGATCTTTGTTTTGAAGTTGACATTTATACTAAGATTTTAAAGTCTTCTTAGGAAATGCACTTGGAACATTTGGATCAAATTTCAGAGCTTTTTGATTTTCAGAGCATTTCAATTTTCAGATTTGAACATTTACAATTTCCACGTATTTAATAATTGATAAAAATTTACACTTTGGATGTTAAATTGCCCCCACAATGAACCCCTGTAACAAAAGGTAATAAAAAAATTATACAGATAAACAATTTCCCTTTCCATTTGGTCCAGTGTGATTATATTTGAATTCACTTTTTAGACCTGCAAGTTTCTGATCTGAAAAAAGTCAATGCAAGAGGAACATGTAGCCAAATGTTTGAGGAATGCAATGAAAGAACATTTATGTTTTGTCATCCCAAAGGGACCAAAGGGGGCTTGGAAAATAGTGTGTTGCGTTTCTGTTTGCACTCAGTATATTAATATACAGATATACAGGTTGACCTATTGTTCAACCTAATGAATTAGATGGGCAAAATTGACTTAAATGAAGGAAAAAACTCCAGAATTTGTAATAATAATTGATATTTTCCCTTTTTTAAGTATTATAAATATTATCTTAAACTTGCAACGCTACAATTTCGTATTTACATGTTGCACTGTTAACAAATGTATCTTCAAAAACCAACTGGAAAATTTGACTATTTTGATGATTTATTCCCAATATTTCATCAGCTGGCCATCATGAATCTCAGAAATAAAAAAAAATGCAAAGGGCTATGAAGTAGTGGTATATAAGTTTGAAAGATTTACAGTTATTGCATTTCTATGTTGTGGTTTGTAGAAATTTTAGAAATATTTAGAAATAATGTCTATTTGCTTTGTTTATTGTATATTAAACAGAAAGAGATTACATGTTCTCCTTATCATACATTTCTCAATACAGAATTTTTTTTCATAATAACAAATGCATTGAATTGCAACAATTTTTTTACTGTAATACATTAGCTTAGACTTGGCATGTTGCATTGAGACTGATAATATTATATTTTGAATCTTTACTTCATCCGAGACTTCATCTATTATATCTGACATTTTGCAGTTACATTTTACCCATCCAAAGGAAATGAAATGAATAACTTTATGTACATATCACGAACATTTGTGATGGCATTAGCTGGACTTGACATAGGTCCCCTTTCCATTCATGTCTATTTTGTGGCATCATTTGCAGGGCATTGTATTGATTATGATATGAACTCTAGTTTTGTATGAGCTGAATGCAGCCATATCAGGGACATAGAATGATGTAGCATGTTTTATTCAGCTCATTTTCAGATTTAAACCTATTCTATTTATGTCATCTTGTTTAAAGGTTAATACATTTATTTTTTACATGATCTCAAGATTTCAATGAAAATTGAATACTGTAAATTCAGAAATGATTGTGAGCATTAATTATTGGGATTTTGCCAAGACTAACCAAAATTCAAGAATAATTATTGCAATTTCAGGAAAATTTGTATGCAGATAAATGTATCAGATATCAAAATGAAAGTTTTTATTTTTACAATATTTACCCAGTCTCATTATTCGCATTAATAAAAACCTCACAACATCTTCTGTGTTTACTGTAGAAGATGACATTTTTTATTTTGGCATATATGATACTCACCCAACAACTAATTCATAACACATGTTTTTAGCAGTCCTTGAAGCTGAAAATACTCTTCTCAGACTTGTGTAAAACAGAATAGTGCTGAAGCTGTAACAATATCTAGTTGTCAGACTTAAATCAGAAGATATTTATTTGTAATACAAGTGTATGATTTGAATTTTTTTTAATTTCCAGCCCAGCCAGGTTATGGACCACCACAACAGGGATATGGACAACCTCAACAAGGATATGCACAACAACAAGCTCACACTACAGTAGTTGTAGGACAGCCCACCGCCACAGTTTTGGTCCAACAGTTCCGTGAAGCTCCAGTTAATACAGCATGCCCACATTGTCGTGCACAAGTTATAACAGCCACCCAGTATGAGACTGGTACCTTTGCCTGGATCATATGTCTGGTTTTGTGTATTGTTGGGTAGGTGAACAATTTCTTTAATCATCAACATGATCAACATATGGGTTTAGCAGTTAAAAGCCCTTGATTCTCTTCTTATCTAATGCTCATTAAATTTGAATGATTTCCCCTATGAACCTTGTCCAAGTAGTATACCAAATGAGATCACATTACTAACAAGTAGACCGGTTTGTTTTGGAACATTTTATGCATCTGATGATAGAAACTTCTCTTATTTTGCAATTTACTTCAGGTTACATAACCTGAGATCCATTATATGTTCAGACACAATTCCAAACTGCACTTAAACAACAACAAACAATTACTGGAAATGATGTTGTCATGAATGTGATTTTCAAGTCAAAATAGATACATGTGTATATGTATAATTTTAGTTAAAATTAACTTAATTTTGACAGTATGCTTTTGAGTATGATAAAACAATCATAAGTCTGTTTTGGTTTCTGTAAAAATTACAGATCACACAAAATTTATGAATTCTACTATCATTATACATATTGAAAAATAATATAGAACTGGATATTCTAGCGGGTTGTTATTTTGGCATTTTCAATGCATTAACTCTCTTGCTTGTTTAAATTCTGGAATTGAAAATAAGAAGTTTACCCTTCACATTGATATGTAGAAACTATTTGCTATGAAGATATTTTCATACATGTTACATGCATTGTGAAATAAGTGAAAATAATCCATGCACAAATATTTCCATGTTAACAGATGTTAATTTATTTTGTACTATATATTCATGACAACCATGACCTATTTACTGACCTTAAGATGTCTGTTTTGATTTTATGGTGGTGGTTTTTTTTCTGTCTCATTAATATATACTCAATACCTCCTTTATAATCATACATTAGATAACCAAAGCAGTTGTAGTTATACCTGCTTATATCCTTAGATTTTTAGATAAGATTGTTTAATAAACTTTCTAGGTTTGAAGTACTGAAGTTACATTCATCATGTTCATATTTCAAATAGAAAATCAAAAGATCTTATATTATTGAACATTTATAGATTCTCTGTACCTACATTGAATCTTATGCCAAAAAATCAAAAACTAAAAATCAAAATTGAATGATGAATTTACGTGTTAAACCAATTTTTTTGTACATGTTATAAAAACTAAATAGTCATTATTTGCAGTATTGAAAATATCAAACACTGACAAAAAAGTAATGATAATTTTTATGAAAAAGAAAAGCATGCATATGAGGTAAAAATGTAAACAAATTCTTATCTTATCCCCAAATTACTTACTTACTTACTTAATCCTCTTCATTCCTTGTGGAACATAGGGCTGCCCCAAATTGCCAAGTTTTTAATGTTAAAATTTTAAAACTGCATAGTCAGTCTTACTCAACATTTGCCAAAAAAATAATTAAAATCTACTTTTTGTAATTAACATGATTAACCATAAGATGTACTATAACCTAATTTTTGGTGTTTGTTGTTTAATTTTGATGAAGTATAAATAGATTTACTTATATGCACGTTCGTGGTATTTTGTGGTGGAAGTCGTGATTTTTGGTCAAGCTTAAAGCAGCATGTGCTACAGTTAATAGTGCTTGTTGGTATGTAGTATTATAATATATCTTTATAAGAATTAAGATTGATAGAAATACTACATTTAAAGGGGAATGGTCTACAAAATTAAATATAAAGGGACATTGTGTACAAAATTACATTTGTTGGGAATTTTATCTATCAAATATCATTATGAAGGGATATTGTTTCATAAAAAAAGGTCTACAAAATCACATATAAATGAATATTGTAAAATTAAGGGGGATTGTCTACCAAAAAAATTTTAAAGGATATATTTTGCCAGATTACTGAATGGTCTACCAAATCGCAATTTTTTTTTCAACATCAGAAAAGTACTAGATATTGTTTGCATTTACATTTCACTATTTGATTATCCCATTAATTTCCTTAAATATCTTAATCAGGGCTCATTTAACATTGTTTAACCTTTGAACTGATCTAACTGCATGGTTGTAGCAAATCTGAATATTGTCTATTTGAAAATAACATATAATTTACACTGTTTTGTACATTTTTATTGTCCAGTCATGTTAAATTACTTGTCTGAGTCCTGGTAAGGAAAATAAAATTTTGTGGTTAATTAAAAACATATATGGCAGACATTCTGATAAGATATTAAAACAAGCCAGTTTCTATTGCATATGATATATTAGCACAAGAAATATATCTTCAAGACAAAATTTCTGAACACAAAATACACAGCAGAAACATAAAATTTCTGAGATATTTTTTGATTACGATTTAGAATCTTTTTCTTTTAATATCAGACCCTCTCCCCCTTTAAATGTTAAAAAGGAAAATGATAAAATGTAAGTTCTGATCTATGCTGGTTTGATTAGTTGAGCCTTTTTCCAACTCTTTTCTTAGCGTCTTCTTACATGTCAGATGAATTTACACCACTCTCCCAGATTTATAATTTGGAACGGTTTAGCGTTTGCAACCATGTTAAACTCTGCCACATTCTTCATGTGCCTTTTTAAAGTCATCTGTAATTCGGTGGTTTTCATTGGTTGCTGTATGCTATATTTGTTTTTCCTTTTTGGTTTATTGTTTATAGCAAATATCTGGCAGGAGTTGATTGTCTGGCACTTTCTATCTTCATAACAGTGAAAATATTAAAGTAAACACACATGACACAATAACATAAGAATTAACACCCTACCCTAAGCTCCCCCCCCCCAAAAAAAAATGGAAAGATGTTTAATTTAGGTCTCTCTGTACAAAGGTCCAAAATATAAAAGAAGTGGCTTGAGACAGTGGAATTTTGCATAGTGTTTTAAAATGAAAGTTAGGTTAACTTCTCCAAAAAATTAAATTGATTAAATTATTAAATATTTAAAGTTACAAGTTTTTAGGATAACAACAAGATACTCAACTGACTTGGCAAAAGAGAACATAGAATGACACACATTACAAATAAATTTGTTGCAACTTTTCTTACTTGCATTTGTAATGTGTCAAAGTAATTGTACCAAAATTCATATTAATCAATAAATACTAAATCAGTGATACACATTAAAACAGCAAGATTCTATTTCATTGTATATTATTTTCAATTTGTTTTTGTCAAAGTAAAATTTGATAAATGGATGTTATGCAAGCAGCTATCAATCAATCATTTGATAAATTACTTATTTTTGTTTTCAAAAGAACAGAATGAAATGTCATGAAAAAAAATACATTTGACATTTACTGCTTATTGCATTCCTTGTTTGCTTACCGTGTATATTACATATATATTAGTTATCCATATTTATACCCTTTTATACATTCCTTATCCATATATATATATATATGTATATTACTTTTATTCATGCACACTATAGTCTTGATGTTTTATCTTTTTATGTCAATTTAATAAATACAACTTTTTAGTAATTAGAATTGTTTTATGCATATTTTTCAGTATACAAACTTTGAATCAATATGTTAGGGTGTTAAATATTTTTTCTTGTAACAGGTCATTTTAAGTGGGAATTTTACCTGGGGTCATTTGAACATTTGTTAAGTATTGAAATCAGTATTGCTCTTTTGAAACATCTTGTTTCAGGTGACTTCTACCTCTGATAAATTTGATTTTAACTGTAACTATTATAATTCAATCCTTGATTTAAACAGAATTGTATACATGTAGTTAGTAGCAAGATAATTAAAGTACTTTTAAAACAGCTCTTCTTAAGATTTAAGGGGCCTCGGTGGCCGAGTGGTCTAAGTAGTTACTACTGTAATCACTAGCCAGTCAACACTGAGGTTGTGAGTTCGAACCCCGCTCATGCGGGTGAACTCGACTCCAATCTTAATTGACTAGGATTGTCAGTTTTCCTATCAAAGGTCGGTGGTTTTCTCCAGGCAATCCGGCTTCCTCCACCAATAAAAACTGGCCGCCACGAAATAGCCCAAAAGCGGTGCTTAAAAGTGGCGTTAAGTCACAAAAAATCAAATCAAATCTTAAGATTTAAACATAATTGTAAAGTTGCAAGAAAATTAAAGTAATGAAGCTGCCAATACTTATATTTTAATATTCAAAATGTTGATGTTGTTTCCTATTTAAATAAATAAATATGTTTTTTAATGAAATTACAGTCGAAACCACCCTTCTTGTAAACATTGTTAGTGACTAAAGTCTTTATCAGAAATTTGTCTTTTGCATAGTAATTCAACAAGAAGGTTTTGTATAATCTCAGATTTGAACCACATGTGCAGTTCAAGGTACATGTAATGAAAAATGTCAGAAAAGAATAAAGCCTTTGATCTGTATTGTAACTGTATTATATTTGCACTTTGAATATATACTCCTACAACATCAGAATATTTCAATTCATTTAATAACAAGCATCACATATTCTGACCTCTTCATCATTATCTGAATAATTGATCAACCTCATACATGTGCTATCATTGCTCGGCAATCTATGGCTGTGTCAACAAGATTTAATTAGTAATTAATGACATCAACAAATAACAGATTTATTTGATCTTGATTTTTGCAACAATGGCTAAGTATACATATTTGTGCAATATTTTTGGAATTTGATGAAAATTTTGTATGCATTTAGAACATAAACTGCATCTGAATATAAAAAAAAAATTATATGTGTAGCATTTAAACTTTCCAGAGATACCATCAAATAAATATGTCCATATATATAAAATGTACATTGAAGGCTGCATTTCACAATTTTCCATCTGAATGTAAGATAATTTAAGATGTGTACAGTTATTTTTGTTCATGAAATAGACATTGAAGTAAATGAAGATAAATCTTGATTTCATTTAATATGATACTTCAGTCAAACAAAAGAATGTAAAACAGCTGAAACTTTTCAAATTAGAATGACCAAGTGAATTGGAAAATAATGGACTCATGTTTTATACAATACGATAAAGAAAGTGTTAATATTGATGTCTTTGCAATCTATACCACTTGTATCATCCCCTGGTCTATCTGATAT